AAACTTGAATTTTTATTTTTATGTATTTTTTATTATTATTTCTTATGACCACATTGGCCAGCTTCCCCACACTGGTTCACTGATAATAAGCAAACACCAAATGGAAATCCCACCAATGATATAGGTGGTATGGGTGAAGCATCTTGCCTAAGGACACAACAACACTTTCCAGTCAAGCTACTGTACTCCACTGTAGCACCTGATATTCCTATTGATATTCAAATGTCAAGGACTTATTTATGTTTATATACTTTAACTTATGAGAGTGATTTGTGTTTCCATTTTTGATTATGAGATCAGTTTGATTATATGGCCCAGTAAATTTAGTCAAACCTTACTCTGCACATCCAGCAGGGGGCAGCAGCACATGTTATAATGGGAAGCCTTAAGTGTCGAGGCAGTTCCCAGTTATTCCAACGTGTTGAAGGAAACACAGAGAGGGCCCCAGTCTGACACTTTCCTGAAACGACCCCATCAGCCAAGGTCACATGAAATCCACAGAACAAAGCAATTCATACTTAGGAATTTGTATAAATGTTGACCTACCTATATAGTTTTCCACTGACATGTCTTATGTTAAAGCTGCACTGTCTCCATGCCAAAATGTTCCACAGTCTAGAGAGAAGTGTGCACCACCAGCTCACTGTCACAGCCAGAGTGCATGTTTTTCAGTGTCCTCTGTGGTAATAGAAAAACCTGTAATTGAATAAATGCAAGACATAAGTTGAATATACTGTAAAGCATTCATCACAAATCAAACATGTCCATGAAAACAAAATGGTAAATGGTCACATCTTTATATCACGCTTTTACACCTTCAAGGCACTCAAAGTACTTTACAATTCACACACACACCAGTTTACACAGATACTGGGGCTGAGGTAGGTTAAGTGTCTTGCCCAACAACAGTGTTCATCTGTGGGACCTAGAATCATACCACCTGTGGGTCAGTGGATCCAACCGCTCAACCAATGATGTTTACGTCAAGAGCAGGATTAGAACTGCCAGCCTTCGGATCAGTGGACAAATGCTCTACCAACTGAGCTGGACCCTCCACCAGAAAAAGTTATATAATGCTCCCATGAATAGGATTTCAGTTTTAAGTGATTGGTTTATATATATAAAAAGAGGTCAAATGGGGTTGTGGTGGTTGTGGTGTAAAACATACTACAAATGTAAATAGTTAAAGAAGATGTGCCCCAAATAAGGAAGGCAATCGCTGTCATTTACATTTCTAATCAAGAAAATAAAAAAAAACTGATTTGGAACTAATTACAACTGTGTGTAGCATTGTGAGTGAAGAACAAAGTTGAGAAGGTAAGAGCAGGTCGTATCACGTTGCTTCTACAAAAATATAGATATTTGGCTCATCTAAATATTCAAAATGATAACTTGCAGCGGTGGGAGCAAGTTGTTGTTTCACGAGTCTAAAATAAGTCTCAAGACTTTGACCTCAAGTCCCAAGACAAATACAGGAAAGTTCAAGTCGAGTCTCGAGTCACTGGCCCATAAGTCCAAGTCAAGTCCAAGTCATCTGCTTTGAGCTTCAAGTCATTTCAAGTCTTTAAACCAAAGTACTAAATATAGCTTAGATTTTTGCAATATCACTTTTAAACTCAATTGTACTTAAAAAGTCATGGTATATTTCTATATGAGCATGCAGGTAATTATTAATATATGTATTTTATAGGAGAAGCATCAAGTCTTCACAAGTCACAGGCCTCAATTCAGAGTAAAGTCCCAAGTCATTGACCTTCAAGTGCAAGTTGAGTCCAAAGACTTGCAAGTCCCCACCTCTGGTAACATGTATTATCAAACTTGATTTAAAGGACTTATATTAGGCTGTGCTATTTTCTGATCTGTTATAATGTTGCTTCCTCATCAAAACGTACCTGTTGTGTTTTGTTTCATTCACATGTGTAACATTATAACATGGCTTCAAGCTCACAAGAGTCAATCTTGCATAACATAGAACCTTAAAAAACATTTTTTAGCTATCTCTGCTAACCAAACTTCAGCTCAGCCCTGTGCACAAACATTCAGAAAAATAAAATACAAAACAGAATACTTTATACAACACACAGTCCTTGAGAGTCATTGGAAGTTACATTTCCCAGAAGCCACAATAAAACTCCATAATTCAGCCATCACCCGCATAGACACACTCCCTGCTTCGGCATTGGAAAGAATCTCAACGTCAATTTATCGGATGGGTCCATGACAATGCCTGCCAACGCCTGTCCCCAAGCGCTGCAACTGCCGAAAATAGTTTCATATTGTGGGTTTAAGTGGAGTTTGTGAGCTGTGAGAGTGCGTGGTGGTGTGGGTGTGGGCCAGGGCATTTGCGGGGTATTAAGGGAGTAGTTTTATAGATAGGACGTGTGGGAGGGCATCCAAATCTCTGATAAAAGAATAGGATTAAGAGCTCTGTAAAATAATGTGGTGCTTTAACAGGTTTGATTTGGTTGTCTGGGCAACGGTCACTAATATCAAGCCACAGTTTCCAACCACAATTGACAAGAGAGAAGACCAGTCAACAAGTTAGAAAGTGGTCGGCGTGGCGATTGATAAATAAACCTATAAGGATTATTTGAAGAATTATTTGTGCCATAAATACTGCTGCTTTCAGATGTTGTTTAAAGATGCATTGCATAACTTTGCTAGTGGAGGGGCTGTTATTGGTTGATATTATTGGTTTGCTTGCAAGTTCAGATATGTGACATTGAAGCTGTATATCTTCATGGAGACAAACGTGATGCCCCCTGGATAAGTTACAGGTCAAATCTGTGGAAAGGTGACCCAGTTCATGGTAAGAATGCATGTTCTTTTTTAAAACAGATATTTTTAACAATTACAAGGGCTGTAATTGAATAAAAGCGAGATGGACTCCTTTCAAAGCAATAATGGAGACAGCAGGTGCCGGGCTGTTTATCAGAAAAGTTACCAAGTGCAGCTTTACCCAAAACATGCTACATAGGTCTCCATGAACAGTTGATAGTCAAGGTCAGTTAAATACAATCAACCAATGAATGTGGCTAGACACTTCACCCACATTGCCTGGTATGGAGGTGGTGTGTGTGTGAGTGATGGTGGTGGTCGGAGGGTCCATTGGCGCCGATTGGCATGGCAGCCGCGCTTCTGTCGGTGTGCCCCAGGGCAGCTGTGGCTACAACAGTAGCTTACCATCACCAGGTGTAGAGTGAATGAATAATGCTGAATGTAATGCTCTGTAAAGTGTCTTTGTGACAAAAAAAATGTCTGTGAAAAGCGCTATACAAATAAAGACTTACTTTAAACAGGAGCTATTGCATTTCTAAACCCATCTTCATCACCTGAACAACCTTAAAATATTAATATAAGACAACTTTATTTTATTATTTCCTCAAAAATGAGTAAAACATGACATGCAAGGCAAATTTTGATGATGCAAAGCCAAGTAATATATAAGCCTAGTTATAATGTGTTGGTTGATCAAATAAGAGGAAGGCGGACACGTTCCCAGCTCCTATATTTTCCACTGGGATCAATTAGTCCGATCCAGCGCAGTATTGTGGGGGTGCGCTATAAGACACACTAATGAGGACTGTCCTGATAATTATAAAGTGCAACTAAAGTGTGACTAATGCTAAACGGTGCCATTATAGTCTTGTTTTCTTATTGATGAAACCTCATATTACAAGCCTGTTATGTTTTTTTTTTCTTTTGTGAAGCTTTACGATAAAATTTGATTCAAAGGTTTAATCATATATTCTTTGGACTGAAGGAGAAATTTAGAAATGAGCTACCCAAAAGATGTTACTCGGTGAACTTTTAATACATCCCTATAGGCCACTGGATCCCAGTTAGTTAAAGCACAGACCTATTATGCAAATAGACTTTTCAGAGCCATGTTTTAGTAGTTTCCTCTTCTCTTTTACCCTCTTGAAGTTGTATTTGGAGTGATTCGTGCATGTTTGAGTAATCTTTAATCGCTTTTTTTCAAGACGCCATATTACCGATCTTATTTATCATTTATTTATTTATTTAATAGGGACAGTGCATATTAATGAACATTTGTAATTACAAGTGTAGCAAAAAAGCTTATTTCCATCTGTTGTCCTTAGGTAAAACATAACACAGAACAGTAAAAGACCAAATTAAAAGTGTTTGCAGACAAGGTTCTCCTTTATCAACCCTCGTTTTTACCACCACCACTACATGCCCACTGCTCTGAACTTACTTCATTCTCCATTTTATTTTCTTAAGAAGTGATACATGATTCCTCAACATTTCATAATCATTTTGGTACTTTTTTTTGTTTTGTTTTTAACTTACTTGCTAATATGATCTGTAGGTATTTGTTTTTATGACTTTTACGGTGATGTCAGCTCCCACTGGGCATCGCAATTTTGTAAACTGGAATAAAACAATATCTAGGTAACGTAAAATGAATTAAATTAAGAACATTTTACTTTATTTGAGTCGATTCAACTTGACAAGTAAAATGATCTATCAATGGAATAAGTGTGTTTTTCTTAATTCAGACAACATTTGATTTTGATTTGATTTTTGTTATTTTAAGTGCAAAAAGTTGTTGTTTTTCTTATTTTAAGTGTAGCAAGATGTGTTTTCAAAATTTAAGTACAGTTTTTAAGTTTTTAAGTACAGTTTAAGTTACAGTTTAAGTTTTTAAGTACAGTTTTTATGGACAGTCTTTAAGTCTTGTTCCACTGGCAGATAACTGTACTTGCTGAGTGAAATTTACTCAGATCATGGTAAAACTTTCTTAATTCAAGTCATCTTAACTTGAGTAGATTTTGTTTTTTTCAGCGTAACGCGTAAATCAGCAGACTTGTTTCTTTTATAAAGTTGTATTAGATGAATATTGCGATTTAAAATGTCAAAATGATCATATAAGGATCCACAGTTGTCATGGATTATTACTATTTAGCAGATACAAGCACAATACTGTACGTCTATATCTTTAATAAACATTTAACAAGTAAGCAAAGAGAGTCGAATGTGATTTTGTAATTATTTAATTGAAATAAATAAATATTAAACTATCAAAATATAACATAAAATCATCACAAGATAAAACATGTACAGTCTATTCCAAAACAAATGTGCAAAGATAAAAACATGTAGTACATCTCTTTACATTCTTTGGGGTTTATCTGTCACATACTTCACATACATCAGCTGACCACTCGGAGCGCCGTGTCCTCTCAGAGATCAGACTGGGACAAGAAGAGGGAGGGGTCTAAAATATTGTCGCCATCCCTAGCTGTCATCACTCCTCCCTCCCCCTCCCCTCTCCTCCTTCTCTCTATCTGTTTCCACTCTGTTTTTCCAATACAGAATCACGCGCGTCCATTTAAACCCTCGTGTCATAGTTTTCCAAGCCAGACATTCACAATCCTTCACTGTACAAATCAATAATAGGTTTAAGTTATATTCCCGATACATTCTTATTCGTTTAAACACATCTATTTGTAGTTAAGAGATTGCAAAGTGGATTAGTGTCTTGCCAAAGGGTATAACTTTACAATGAGCTAAGCTGGCATCGAACCACACAGTTACTGGACAATGTGTTCTATTAAGATATGCGAAACACTTGTGGCTTTTTGGCATGTGGCAAGTTACATAACAGTGATATAAACGTTTAAAGAAAGATATTGAAGGTGCACAATGGAACTTTTCTCGCTATCGCCATGGAGATGTTGTTACTTTGCCAGAAATGTTCCTACAGTATGACATTGCTATCTATCAGCTTATGGAGACACCATCAGACCAAGTGACAGGTCAGATCTCTGGAGAGGCAGCCTCACTCTCAATAAAAATGAGACAAGCCAGAATCAGACCGTCCAGTTACAAAGTTACGTAGTGCACCTTTAACTTAACAGCTTAGCCAAAACTCTATCCTTCCTCAAGACGATTTTGAGCCCACAAATTCCAACCAGTAGGACTATTTACATCAACATACCATCACAATCTCTGTACATCTTCTCATGCTTATTTCTCAGCGCTCAAACCCAGTCCATAGTCTACTTTCTAGCTTCTTTTCTTAACCTCTTTGGGCCTCCTGCGACATAGATCTTCCCAGAATGTTCGGCACCTTGACGAACTCCATGAGCCCCGGTTTGACTGGAGGTAGGTCTTTCGTGATCTCGTCCACAGATCTCTTGGTGGGGCAGACTCCGTTGGGGGCGAGGAAAGGCTGGAAGTCCTCTTCGGTGTGGGGGGCCCCGCGGCCGAGCCGGATCCCGAACTCGGTCGGGATGAAGATGGGCAGCGGCAAGGTGTTTCTCTTGGGCAGGAGTTGGTGCTCCCTGACCCCGGTTTCCATGGTTCCCACTCGGACCACTCCGGAGGGACAGGCCTGGAGGAGGGTGCGGGCCTGCCACTGTCGGGACAATGTTTCTCTGCGGGATGTGTCGTTCATATTCATGGTTTGTCTGGAAGATAGAAGGATTCATGTTAGAAAAAAGATTAAAGAGGACTTTTCAAAAACAGATGGTACTGATTGTGCCTTTGATTGTGTTACATTGCTATCCTCTGTTTTTTCAAGCCAACTTTTTAATAAAGTCCTTGTAAATAAGAGGGCTCCATGAAAAATGAAGCAGGCCTACTAAATCTACATTAACACAAGTCTATATGAAGGAAAAATACAAACTTTGTCTTGAAATAAACCAAAATATATTAACTATATCTATTGTAACCCAATAACAGTGTAGCTACTGGAAGAGAAAGTCACCATAAACTGGTCCTTTATTTGATAGAAATGAGTGAATGGTTGTCTATCTCTGAAGTTTTGACTACTGATCATTGTTTAAAGTTTACCCTGCATGTGGCCCAAAGTTACAAAAATACCTATGTTTCTGAAAGTCTTAATAACCATAGATAATAACAGATAGAATAATAAGATTAATAGTGCAAACAATAGCAGGATATTTTAAGTTTAAATGGTTTAAGCCTTAATTAAATGGCAGGATTAACTTCAAAACAAGATCACGTCTTATTAACATACTTAGGTGTTATTAATATATATGTATATTTTTTATTCAGAAGACTAATTTTGTAAGATGACATGTCTTGGGGTACAACAAGTGACCCTGCTGTGATGTCTGCACTGTGAAATGTTCAAAGTTCATGTCGGATCATGTCACTTAAGCAGGTGTAAATCCTCTGTCCCCAGCTTTGTATTTCAGTACATTCATTTTAGGTGATGCTACTATTTAAAACAGCAGCCCTGTTTTCTTTGTTCAGAACAGTGAAATAACAGTCAATTGGAATATAAGTTCACATTTTGCAGCAAGTTAATCTTAACATCAATCATTCTTGTGGAGATTTTTTTCTATTTGGTCTGTCCTTTATTTTGTTACTGACAGTTTTTAAAAAAAAAAAATTTAAATAAACATTCAAATAATCATGACAGTCCAGCCAATTTATAGTTTTATGAAAATGCCCAAATTCAGATTCAAATTCTCAGATTCAAATCATTAGAAGCCAATTTCTTACAAACATTTTTTTTGCTGATTCTGATTATTTTCCTTACATTTTCCAGATTTTTTCCCCCTCTTTCAACCATAAAATTATATAATACTTATGTTTACTTACTGACTTTAAGATATTAACAATTCAGCAACACAAAAACTTATGTCAAGTACGTCCATTAAGTAAGATGTATTTTTTTCTTAATTCAAAGTCTGAGGGATTTTGTACGCTTCTTAATTCAAACAACATACAGTTTACTTTCTTATAGAGTTGTTTTGTTATCTTCAGCATAACTAGATGTATTTTCAGCTATAAAAACACTTGTTCCATTGGTAATAATTGGATATAACATTTTCTTAATTCAAATCAGTTTAACTTGGCAACATTTCTGTAGTGTAATATGAAGAGTTGCTTATTTGCAGGGATCCATCTTTAAAGGTGCACTGTGTAACTTTTCTGGTGGAGTGGAGGGTGCGTCACGTGATTGTTTCTATGGATATGTCATTGCTCTACCTGGAATGTTCCACAGTATGACTTTAAACAACTTTATCTTACGTTTATTCAATTTCAAGTGTTTTTATAGCTCAAAAATACCTAGAAAAACTGGCATTGTGATTCTGTAAGCGGGGTTGCCTCTCCACAGATCTGACCTGTAACTTGGTTTGGTTTGGTTTCCATGCAGATAGAAAGGTTTAATGCCATACTGTGAAACATTCCAGACCAAGCAATAACATTTCAATGGAGAAAAGCATTTGATGGACCCCCAGAGTCACCAAAAAGCCATCTCAAATCACTAAAGATGATTTCATTTTTTCATTTCATCTATCTATCTATCCATCCCTTTCCCATCTCCCCTCTCTTCTTACCTGTCCTCTGGCTGTGTTTTGATCCAGATATTCTGCCAGTCCGCGCTGTAGCTCTCCTTTGACACCGTATTCTCCTCCCGGACGCTACAGGCCAACTCCGCTCCAACCACCGCTCCATTGTGTTTCTGCAGGACCGTGCGCACTGACATCCTCTTTCACTTTCGCCTGTCACAAAACTTTAAAAAAAAAAGAAAAATCTTGTTTGGTTTCGAAGCTGGTTTGCTCCGTCTGTCTGTGCCTCCTCTTGTGCTGTGTGCTGGGGGCCGGTCCTGCTTTTGTAGACGTCCTGTTGCTATTTTTGATGCATGTTGTCACTCTGTAGTCACTGAGTGTACGGACATCAGATACTCACACTCTGCTTGTGTCACTGCTGGGACATAGGCACAGGGAGACGAGCCAAGGAATGTACTCCACTAAGACTAATGTTACTTCAAAACAACAGTGGTGGAAGGTAAAAGTACAAAGCAAAAAAATTCTTCAGTACAATTTTTTGCTTGAGCACATTTTACAGTGGATATTTTTACTTTTACTTCACTACATCTGAGAGAATGTATCTGTACTTTCAACTACACGAATTTTAAATCTGGACTGAAAAGTTAAAAGTACTTTTCTTCATGGTTTGAGTCAGAGATTTATTTTTAGTACATTGAATTTGTGGTAATGTCCAATCTTTGAGCAAACCAAATAGACAAAAACAGCTAGAAAAATCAAACAGTCAAATCAATTAAATCACTTAAAATCAACTCCATTCTTTATCAAAATATTTTTACTTTTTACTCTTTAAGTATATTTGTAAGTACTTTAGTAGTTTTATTTGAGTAGATTCTTTCATTTGATACCTGTATCTGTACTTTTACGTAACAAAATTGAGCAAAATAATAATATCTAATATAAGTTAGGGTGACCAGAATTTCAAAATAAAAAACTTGAACAGCCCTGTTTTTTTTTTTTTTTTTTTTATAGTTGGTAATTGTAAAATTGTGAAACGAGTGAGTAATTAAGGAAAACTGTCATGCAGAAACCATTTATGATGAACATGTGAGTCAGTATAGTCATATTTTCTTTATGTTTAGGGTGTGTTTAAGCAGATTTTTTTTTGTATTTTGCCTAAACAAATTAGAATTTATGCCTCACTTTACTGTTGGCAGGTATCAGATTCAGGGACATTTCTTGTATAAAACTGGGACAAATCAATAGTTTTGGATAAAATCTGCTAGGACAGGAGACACAGGGCTTGTCCCGGGTAAATAGGGACATCTGAACTAACTCAAGTAGAAGTACAAAGTGGTGATCCAAGAAAAGAAATTAAAGTAAAAATGTATGTATGTATGTATGTATGTATGTTTGTAATTTGTATAGTATGAATTTCAACTTTGAATCCTTTTTAGCCTCATTTAAACTGCTTCATGCCTTGTAATTGGAGGGAAAGATGTTAAATATTTTCTCAAAACTTGGTATTTTTAAAGGATAAACACAAAAACTAAAACTGAATCATTCAAAGGACCAGGGCAAGAAGCACAAATGTTCAAATCATGAAATATTGTCAACATAAAGCTTTTGTCACTTGCAGATTTACTAATATTAAGTAGTCAAATAAGAGGACTGTTACACTGTAAAATAAATTACTGAAGTAGGATTGTGTCAGAAAACTACTCTGAGAATTACTTTTTTTTTCTAAAAGTTATTGAAGTAATTGTAACTCACTTCTAATCATCTCTGGAAAGTGCAATACTGAGAAAAATGCTTGTTACAAATAATTCCTGTCATATTGTCAACATAAAGCTTTTGTCAATTGTACACTTATAATCCATTTTTTACCCAAGTAAGAGTACTGTTGCACTTTAAATATTCAAGTAGTAAAAGTATATTCTCTAAAAAACAAGTACTTCTCCATCAAGTAAATGTAACTGAGTACTACCTGTTTCTGTAGATATAGAGGATGTAATACAGGCATTGAGGTGAGGGATAATTGAACTGAAACCCCCTCTTTACTGTTAATTACCGTCAGTTAGTCAGTTATTCAAACAATCGTCCAACGCAAACACGGCGGAGGTGTTTTGGAAGAATCAGAATTATGTAATGTTGTTGAGGGAAAAACAAGGCGGGTTAAGTCTGAGGAGATTAAAGGGGATTTGGTGTTGATGTACAGATGCTACCACTAATTCACGACTAATATGGAAAGATCATGACGACAGCTGTTTTCTGAAATGAATGGGATTAGACTGATAAGAGATCAAAGCTTATGGCATTGTTCTGGGGTAAATATAGAAAGCGCGGTACTAAAGGAAAAGACAATAAGGCCGTATTACAGTGTTTATGTTTTGATGTCTTTTAAATGTTTTTTTTTTTAATATGTATTCTATAATTAAAGACAATAAAAACATTTAAGGGGATTTTAAATGCACCTATCTCGTCTAATCCATGACAAACAAAAGCAAAGCACAAATTCATACAGTAAAAGGCACATCTTTACACAAATTAAAATCATTGAACAATAAAATTTTTTTATGTTTTGACTTGCTTATAGATGTAAAAAAGTAAATTTGTAAAATAAATTTTAAAAAGCTGTAACTGCAATGCTTCACTATAAATATTGTATTTTAGTAACAAGTTGAGAAACATAACATATAACCTTAAAGCTCCAGTATATTAGCCAGGACAGCGCCACCTAGTGCCTCCGCTCAATTTCATTTCTCTCCAGCGACTAGGTCAGGAACTGGAATACACTAGACAGTTCACAAAACCCCGAAAGTGCGAGTTCGGGCACCAGCCAATCAGCGAAGAGCCATATATTCTGTGTTCACAACGATTCCTGAGATCGAGGATTTAAAGCCGGAACAAAGAGAATGTTTGGTGAATTTTTATCAAGGGGAAAGCCATTATTGCCCTTCTTCCTATGAGATTTGGGAAAAGCTTAATATACCAGTTACCAGTCAGACGGTTTCCACGAAGTGAAACCGGCCGTGAATCAGTATGTAACCTTTTAGTCTAAACACTTTATTTTCTTTCCCCGTTTGAATAAATCAATAAATAAATATACCAAATTTTTACACTGAAAAAACATAAGAAGAATAATTTGAAGATTTTTTTATTATAAAACGCTTTGAGTGTCTTGAAGGAGGAAAAGCGCAATATATAAATGTGATAATAATAAGACACCCATGAAATTAATTCACTTTTTTTTTTTCTTTTTGCAATATTTTATCTAATTTGTTTTTGCTGTTCACACTGTTCCATTAAAATAACCTTTTAATTACAGCCATTTAATCTTTACCATCTGCTTGTTGTTGCTCCAGGTTATTCGCCCTCTCACATGCCACATCGCTTACATTTAGATTAAACTACACGGCTCGACAGTTGCATTCAATAACATCTATCTTAAAATATATTTATAGTAACTCATGAGTCCATTAACGTTCCCGGTAGGTGCCAAATAAAATACTGCATCTATGGCAAAGGTAGAGAGAGATTCCCGTGAGTGATGGATGACTGCTCTGCTCCCGTCAGGCCGTCCAGATCTGGTTTCAGACCCGGACCTTGGATAGTCTGACATGGTACTACAGCCTCAGGAGTGACTCATTTATCTCTATTGGGAACTGCCCTCACCACATACATAAAACATCACGCAGACATATGTACTATACGTATCAGTGACAGCGGAGTCAGGAGGGGGTTTTCTGAATGAGGTAAAGTCAATGCAATGTGCTGATTTACCTGATATTAAACTGGATATGAATTAGTCTAAAGCGCAATTACGTAACCTTCTAATGACGAAAAGTAACCTGCACGATTCCGTTGAAATGGAAAGTTAAAACCGCTTCGGAACATTCTCCAAGAGGGTAGATAGGTTTTAGGTGGTTCTCGTGGAATATTATTGATACTTTGTAGGGACGTGACGCTCGGGGTGTTCTACATCTGTCTCTAATGCTGGAATGTTTAGGAGTTACCATGGTGACACAATGCACACATGAGAAACCCGAATGCACAAACACCGTAAACCAGAGTTTAAGTTACCAGAACTCAAAATAACTGAGGCAATCGATTACCTCGATTATTTTAGGCTGAAGAAGTTAAAAGTTACAATCTTCAAGAACTTAAAAAGGTTGGATGATTTGCTTCTTGTGTCTTTTGATAAGAGTTGAATTAAAAGTGCTTATTTAGCTCAACTCAAATATTTGCAGTTAGAATTTTCAAAGCACTGGAACGTGAACAGCCCCCACAGTGGAGTGTTTTAAGTCTCATCTTGAGACCCATGTTTACTCTCTCACCGCATGAGTTGTGAGTTGAGCTGTGTCTTTTATTTATTTTATTTATTTTTAATATATTTAATTGGCTTTATTTATTGCTATTCTATGATTTTGCTCTTATTTTATTTTACTGGTTTTATTATTTTAACACTAATATTATTAAACCTGAGTGTTTATTTTATCATTTTATTATTGTTATTATTATGTATTTGTGCAGCACTTTGGAAACTGTTTGTTTGTGAAATGTGCTATAGAAATAAAGTGGAATGGATTGGATAATTTTATTGATTTTCAGTTTTTTTGTAGTTCATGATTCTGTACACACAATCCAGTACATCTATATATACCTACATAGTTTAATATATTTATTATAGCACATTATACTATACACATTGTACATTATACACACATTACATATTATTTTTTTATTACTTCATTCTACCAAGTTCTTAGTACTTCATCTATGTTTTTAAGTTGCGCTCGCTTATACCCACAATAGTTCCCTTTAACAAAAAATAAAAAAAATAAAAAAAAAAAGTTTAAATTACTCAAAAAGAAGAACATGTTATAGCAACTTGACATAGTTAAGTTCATAGGACTATTTCTAAAACTTTGAGTATAAATAACTTAATCTTTTTAATTACTTTGAACGTTCAGGTTTACAGTGTAATGAAAAAAAAAACAAACAAACAGACAAACAACATATTGGGGCTTTTAAAAGGTGACATGCTACTTGTTACTATATGTATTTATAACATACACTGCATATAGATATGGACATAGCTGACCTCCTAGCTACTACGTTCCAAATTGGATGTGACCGTGGGAACGCTTCTGCCTTTTTTCTGACCCTGGCTCCAATTGACTTTACATTGGAATATTGTCACCTCTCTCTCTGGAATTTTAGTCTTAAAATGTTCTGATTAACCAGCTCTGCATGATCTTGTTTTTTATTTCACTATTTTGTCCATACATAAATTCCTATTCCTAATATGGACCTGGCTCCAAATACGA